GCTGGGTTCAAAGGAACCCAGCACTTGGGTTCAATCGAACCCTTCCTCTTCCTTGCCTTGCCTTTGCCTTCTCCATCAATCAATTCTTCTCATCATCAAACAACAAAACCCAAAAACAAAAATATATATATATATATAATTTTTTCTTAGTTTTTGCTCTTAGGTTCGAACCCAGCACCGGGTCCAAAAGAAGCCAGGGATGGGTTCCTTAGAATCTAGTGTCGGGTTCCAAGGAACCCAGCACGGAGTTCATAAGAACCCAAGCATTGGGCTCCTTCGAACCCAGCGTCGGGTTCGAGGGAACCCAACACTGGGTTCGAAAGAACCCAAGAGGGTTCTTTCGAACCCAACGCTTGGGTCCCAAGGAACCCAACATTGACTTTGTAGAACCCAGGTGTGGGTTCCTTGGAACCCAGTGTCAGGTTCGAAGGAACCCAATGCTAGGTGCTTGGGTTCCTTTGAACCCGACGCCTAGGTTCCAAGGAACCCAGCACTGTGTTCGTAGAACCTAGGTGTGAGTTCCTTCGAACCCAACGCCAGGTTCGAAGGAACCAAGTGTTGGGCTCCTTCAAACCCAACATCGGGTTCAAAGGAACCCCAGCGCTTGGGTTCCAAGGAACCCAGGAACCCAGGACCCCAAGGGAAAGGGAAAGGGAAGGAGAAAGGGAAAAAAAAGGAGTTTTTTAAGTTTTTTTTTTTGCCATATTAATATTTTTTCCATGTCACTATTTGTTTGCCATGTTGTCTTCCACGTATTTTGACATGTCATAGTGTCATTATGAATTAATAGGACACGTTATGCCATTTTTAACGGTAGGGACCAAATCGGGATTAAAATGGTAAATAATAAGGATCAAATCAAGGATTTTTTGAGTTGAGGGACTTAATCGAGAGTCTGTACAATAGTTGAGGAACCAAAAAGGAGATTTAACCTAAAAAAATTGTTAGAGTTCTTTTTTTTTTATTTTCTTTTTCTGTTGCTCGCCCCTCTCTATTTTTGGTAAAATTGATTTTGCAAGGGAAATAGAAAATAGAAAGTAGGTGATGTATCTTAAGGTGTGTTGGAGATAAATGTTCGATTCTAGTTGACTAAACATTTAACCTAACAATAATTTTGAGAGCTATAGTTCCTCTGGAAGTTGCATATCAAATAGGCAGTACTGCCATAATTTATAAAATTAAAGATTTATTTATTTATTTATTTTTACCTTTGTTTATATATATATATATATATAAATATATATTGGTGTGTATATTCTAGACTCAAAATTCATAATCTTATAAATTTCTAGCGATCATTAAAAGGACCCAGAGAAAAGTAGATAAAATTTGGCCATTGAAATGAAGAAATTATATATCTTCAGCCAAAAAAAAGAAGAAGAAGAAAAAGAAGGAGGAGGAAATGAAGACATTGTATTAATTTTCCTGTCTACTGCCCAACAAAATTATGAGCAGGTAATGTTAGCCATGTTCAATTGTTACCAACACATGCAGCGTTTCTGTATTTAGTATTTACACTGCCAATTTGCCCTAGCAACAACAAGCTTCACCTTTCCCTTCCTCGCAGACCTCTGAAAAAACGCAAAGCACTTTTTTGGGTAAGTCATCTTCTGTATTATGAGATGCAACTTTTAGGTGGTTGATATTCACTGTTGAAACCCTAAAATCAAACGTAATTTCCAAAAACATGTGCACCCACTATTCCCATACCCCCTTTCCACAATTAGAACTTCACCTTTCTTTGGCGTTTCATGAAATCATGGAGTCATTAGAGAAATGAAACACTATGTATGGGTAAAAGGACCAAGTTCTAGTGGTTTCTACCATTGACTAGTCCCGAGTACGGTAGTAAAGATAAAAAGTCCAGGACGAAAGCAAAGCAGCAGAGGAACAACAGCAGAAGAGAAATATATTACCTTTTACGGGTTCAGTATTCCATCAAGCAGAGGGAGACTTCATTCTTGATATGAAAAAGAAGAAGAAGAAGAAGAAGAAGGAAAAAAAAAATATATATATATATATATATACATATATATCACAACTGTACCTGCTCATTCCAGAACTAAATTTGAATGCTCTCTTGATCTTGCTTGGTTTGGCTCCTTTCTCAAACATTGAAGCATTAAGTAATGGCTATAGTTTCTCAATGCGAATGAGACCCTGGAAAACACCTAGCAACAGATGGACCTCATCAACACACACCCACACGCTCAGAGGGAGATTGCATAGAGAAGGTAACTAATATTCAAAGTTCGTTTGCAACAACAAAAACTCCATTTCTGTCCACAGTATTTTTTTGTAGAGGGAAAGGCAAATGTTCCAACTCTAACATGCATACCCAGCCACTGTCTCATGACTAACAGAAATAAGAACCAACAAACACCTTGCCATGTTCTGGTCCATTGCTGAATTAAATGATCCGAAAATGGCACCTGCAATTATCCAACCAAATCCATAAATAAGTAAATTTCAGCAGCAGATAAACAGCAACACTTAAAATACTAATCATAAATTAGATAAACTAACAAAGTGAAAATATGTAATTTTCATATGCAGAACAAGAAGAAATGGCATACCCTAGCAAACCCCTCCCTTGCCATGTTCTGGGAGTTACTGTTAAGTTGACTGGAGCACCTTGCCTCAGAACTAAAATAGCTATTCCTTGACCCTGATTTGCCTGAACTTCAGCAGCAAGCATCTGTAGCAAATTATCTCCGGCTTTAACATTACCAAATTCTACAATCTGATCTCCTAGCTGTAAACCATCCTCTGCTGCTGGTGATGCATCAGCTATTTCATCAACCATTGCAAAGGGTATACTAGAAATGGCATCCACAACATTGGAACTGGAGGAATCTCTTGAAATGGCATCATGCAAGGATACAGATGCAATGGCATTGGCAACTGATGCACTTTGATTATTTGACCCCAAATTAACACCTAGTAGATGAGGAAAAAGCAGTGACCTTGTTATATGCAAGATCTTGGCTTGAAAGAGGATGGAATATGCATATGGAATTAATTCTTCCCCACCCACTCACCAGTCAATTGAATATGAGACAACTTTCAGCAACACAGTTTATCTTCTAGAAATGTTTGTTAATTCAACCAGTCATGGCATGGCCCATAAATTAGGACATCATATCAGCTATATATAGAGAAAAAAATGTATAAATAACCTATTTATCCTGTCATCTCAGTTTTTTTTTTTCTTTATTTAGTCTAGATCAGAGCATGTAATCCTCTGTTTGCCTTACTGTAATGGTTAGACCTTAGTAGTTAGTGCATTGCCTTTCACTACTTTGATTGGGTGTAAGTTAAAAAATGTACACCATGCTTAGTAAATTAGCACCTAAAATTTGCATTAGGGCTTCAAAAAACAAAATTATTAATGATTTATCTGGAGAAACACTACACTATTAATATTAATAAAAAAAAAAATAATAACCAGGCAGCAGCAACCTTGGAAAACTAATAACTAACAAGCAGTGACATGACAGGCAACATAATAAAGTTTCATTGCTTTCATATTCAACTTCAAAATAAAAATCTACCACCATTTGTGCAAATGACAGTTGACACCAAATACATAATAATATCCAAACCAAGAGAAGTCTAATAAGTTTTCTTTATTTGAACAAACCTGGCAAGAATTCAGCTCCTTACCTGAATCTTTGGAGGATAAAGATGTAGGAGCATGCCTTGACGAATGTAACACTTGAATATTTGCATTTATTTTCTCAGTAATTTCATTGTGATCAAACTTCAGCTCTGGAGATAGAAGCAAGAAAATAAAATAGTTTCATGCAACTAAAATAAAAATTGACATAAAACAAACACCGCGGCACTACGGCTGCTGCAGTCTGTAAGTGTCATAATAAAACTGCTGCCAGCCTACCACTACTCCTAGCTCCCACATATAATGTCAACAACATTATCAGAAAACTGTTATGCAGTCCAGACGGCACAACTAAAACAGTTAGATAGAGGGCAGCCATTGATATTCGAGGCTCCCTCCCCATCCAATGGTTTCTATTTTGCAGTCTGTGCAGTCCAAACTGCAAAACAAGACTCTCCCATTTTTTTGTGAATTATATCAAAAAAATCAAAGAATGGATAGAATGCATTCAATAATCATAAAACCATAAATAAATAAATAAGCATGGTACCAGCAAGACGACGTCGTTCAGCTCGCACAACAGGAATGTCAATATCAGCTCGAGGAAAACCCTAGCAAGAGAAAAGAACAGACAAGCTTTAAGAACTCATCCATTAGATTAGAGAAAGAAATTCAAAAGGCTGATCTGCTTCATCAAATCGACAAATCTTGATTCCTAGCTTATAGAAATTCGAATCCTACTGATGAGATTGAACAAGAAAAAACAAAATCGAGAAATTTTACCTCAGAATCGACAAGGTTTCCGGAGAGACCAGGTCCGCCGGGTTGACAGAGATTCTCGATGATGGCGTTCATCTCGGCTTCAATCGCGCTTCTCTTCTCCATCGACTTCAACGTCTCTGCTTTCAGATTAGCACCAACCATTTTCGATTTATTTTTTCTTCAATTCAGCTCGTCTTCGTAGAACAGTTCTATCTTCTTCCTCTGGGTGATGAGGGAGAGTGACAAGGGCAAATAGGCGCCGTTTGGCTTGAAGCGGAAGAAAGTGTGGTTCTGGTTTTGGACATTTCTGGAATTTTGATTCTGGGCAGCTTCGGAAATAAATCCGACAGAACTTTCAGGCTTTAGCGACCAACCAGCATTATCTTATTGGGCCCTGATTGTCCACTAGTTGAAATTTTTGATAAGCCCAGGCCACCCCTGTGGGCTAGGCCTAGTTCCACAACTGACATAAGAATTAGGACACGTTTAGAATTGTTGTGGGGAATTGTTGTGAGGAATGTGTCGGTAACTGTTGTTGTGAACATAATTGTAATTGTATTGAATTATATTATATTATAATTGTATTTAAAAATT